CCAAAATAAGACTTTGTTCTTGTTGTGATAATTGTCGATAAATGGCATTAAACGTGCTTTAATACATTTATTCAGGTATGTCGCTTGATTAATAGCTTGTTGTTGATAAGAAAAGAATGGTGTTGAGATGCCATTTTCTGAAATTGCAACCCATACTAAAACTTTCGGTTCAAACTTTTTTGATCGTTTGAATTTGATTTCTGGTGGTGCTGTATTTGGATCTGATGTGTAAAAGCCACGATTAGCAGCTACTGATTCATTGTGTAAAAGAAAATATTTTTCGTCGTCTAAGATCAGTTCAAAATCATCATTTAATAATGTTCGATATAAGCGTCGTGCACGTAATGGAATTTCTTGAAGTTGTTTGTCGGTGTATTTGGGTGCTCGTTTCTTTTTTCGATACATTATACCCATAGCTTTCAAATTTCGACTAAGCGTTGAAAAATTGACATTGAATTTGGGAACAAGTCGTCGAAGAGAAATGTCAGTCTTCTGATCAGTCAAACGTTTCAATTCAGTTAATTTCCGTGTAGACAATTTTTTGGGACGACCGGATCTAGGTTGATCACCAACAATACCAAATTCTTCAAACTTTTTGATGATATTGTATATATTTCGACGTGGTACTTGTTCTTGTGCAAAATGGTTTACAGTAATTTTCTTCTGACGATTGGAAATATTCACGTAGTGCTGTACAATACGTTTTGCTAGATATTCTCTTTCTGAACGGGTCATTTCGATTCAGTACAAAACTATATGACCTATTCTATGTTATATTGAATCTCTTTCAACGCTCTATCACGTGATATAGAGGAAAGAAAAAATAGTTATAACAGCGCAAGATATACGAAAATAAATTTTGTGCAAAGACTTATGCAACAGAGGTTATCAAGAACATTGGGAAAAAAAAACGTTTTTATAGTGCTCCCTCTTATATTAATTCTTACTTCTTTATGTTTTTCCATCATTGCATGAATTTTTGAAATAAGATCACTTCCATTTGTCATATTTTTTCGAGTTATTCGACGTTGACTTGTTGTTTTTGTGAATTTTTTTATTTTACAATCAGTACTTATGGTATCAAGATATCGAGATATAAATGAAACAAATCAAACAAATTTTTCTCGACAATCATCAATTATAAGTACAACACCTAGTATTCGACATGGTATGAATATATTACTTAGGGCTAGCCAAAAGTTCGTAGAACGATTTTAAAGAACCTTGTCGGATAAGGTAACCTATTTAGAAATGAAAAACCAAATATACTATGTTGTAGAGTTTTTTGAGGCGCATCGAATGGTATATAATAAATCCTGTTTTCATAAGACTTTGAAGGAACTAGAGTCAATTTACTGATAGACGACTACTCATCCATACTCACACCTTCACCTAACGAGGGAACGTTCCCAAGTGATTAAAAGCTTTTGAGCTCATATGTTGCCCATTAGGTAGGGAACCACTAGATTAGAGAAACCTCCAAAGGATTCGTGCCCATATTGAGATTTGACAGAGATATCGAATTTTTAGTGGATTTTTCCTGCTGGACCCTAGTTCTACAGCAAAATCATATTTTCGAATTTCGATCTGTAACTTTGCCCAAATGAAGGCTTCGATTAGAGTAGCTTATATAGAAAATTTCAGAATTTTTGGACATTGCATCTCCAAGGTATCAATCTTTCAAAGTATCCATGTTATATATAGAAAAGTGCCTATATTTTCAAAAATTGATACCTTGGAAATGCAATGTCCAAAAATTTTGAAATTTTCTGTATAAGATACTCTAATCGAAGCCTTCATTTGGGCAAAGTTACAGATCGAAATTCGAAAATATGATTTTGCTGTAGAACTAGGGTCCAGCAGGAAAAATCCACTAAAAATTCGATATCTCTGTCAAATCTCAATATGGGCACGAATCCTTTGGAGGTTTCTCTAATCTAGTGGTTCCCTACCTAATGGGCAACATATGAGCTCAAAAGCTTTTAATCACTTGGGAACGTTCCCTCGTAAGTATGATAGCTTACTGAATATTGTTGTCCTCGGGATTAGTCGAAAGTATTTGTAAAATATTTTTTCTCACATACGATTTTGCAGAGCTTTTGACGGGCTGCAACCTCATATATGTAGCATCTCCGGTCATCTTGTCAGTGTGGGTATGGGTGGATGTGATTGTGGGTGCGTAGTCGTCTATCAGTAAATTGACTCTACTTCCTTCAAAATCTTATAAAAACAGGACTTATTATATACCATTCGACGCGCCTCAAAAAGCTCTACAACATGGTATATTTAGTTTTTCATTTCTAAATAGGTTACCTTATCCGACAAGGTTCTTTAAAACCGTTCTACGAACTTTTGGTTTGCCCTAAGTAGATTGTTATTTCTTTGTTAGAAACTTTGTTTTTTTTTTTTATTAGGTTCGACTAGTCAGATAAATGTAGATACAGTTAGTATAAATGATTCAACATCGATTACAAATAATCAAGTATGAATTTTGTTAAATTAATTTTTTTTTGAGGGGGGGAGTTTAAAAAATTGTGCATTTTGTAGAAGAATAATGATGAATCAATAGTTATTGATGATAATAATGAAGTTAATAAAATAAATTTACAATCGACTAATAAAAATTCAATCGATATAAATAATACAAGTGCTACAGCTACTCAATACGGTATATATGATGTAGAGAAGTAACCATAGCATTTTTTTTATAGCAAGTATTGCTAGTATTCCTACTAGTGATTCAACAACAATAAATAAAAATCAATTAACTGAATCAAAACTTCCCGATTATCCAAAAGCAAATTTTAATTCAAATGAATCATCAATGAATATAACAGAAAAATTAAAACGAGCATTATCGAATATAGCACCATTATTACGTGATATATTTATAGAATTTTCACATATACTTATAAAAACATTAGTTGGTTCATATGGGCAAGAATTATTACCTAATGGTTTACATGCACTTAAACAAACAGCATCTATTGTTGAACTTGTTATGTTATTATGTTCACAAGAATGGCAAAATTCTCTTCACATAATAAATATTCAAATCTAAGAATTTATCTTGTTATCTAAAAACTTTTTCATA